CCAGCCTGAAATATATAGCAAGACCCTGTCTTAATTAAAAAAGGGGTAAACCTAGGGGTATAACTAACCCTGTCTCAAAAAAACAAACAAACAACAAAACAAAACAATAATAAAAAAACATAGTAGAACATATGTCTCAAAATTACAAATATACATGAGGAATGCACTAGTCAAAAGCAAATTCCTAAACCACTATAAGGTAGACAAGCCCAGGTATAGCACAACAGCCTATAACCTTGGCTACTCGGAGAATGAGATTTAGAGGCAGCCTGGGCAATTTAAGAAGTTCTTATCTCAAAATAAAATAAAAACAGTTGGGGATGTAGCTCAGTGGTGGAGAGCTTGCCCAGAAAGCTCTTCCCCAGTACTGGGGGAAAAAAGTGATAGAAGTTTTAATTTTCAGTACTTTTGAGATACAAAGAGAATGGTAAGCTGAGTTAAGCATGGAAGATAAATCTTATTTTCTGTAAAACAATGCTAGACAGGCATGGTGCTGCATGTCTGTTATTCCAGCACTCTGGGAGGCTGGGTCAGGAGGAGCTCAAGTTTAAACCCAGCCATGGCAATTTATTGAGATCCTGTCCAAAAGAGCAACCCCCCGCCAAAAAAAAAACAACACTTTTTTTTTTAAAGGGCTGGGAATCTAGCTCAGTGTTAGGGTGTCCCTGGTCTAATCCTCAGTGTCACAAAGGAAAAACAAAATTCTCTAAGATTTACATAAAAATGGCTGGGCTAGGGACCAGGATTCAGTGGTTCCAGCACCTGCCTTGCAAGTATAAGGACCAGAGTTCAATCCCCGGTACCAAAAAAAAAAAAAAAAAAATACGGCTGGGTTATAGCTGTGTGGAAGAGCCATTAGCTACCAGGCCCAAGGCTTTCATTTTACTCCCCAGAAGGCAGGGGGACTTATATTAATAAACAGTAAAGAGGTGCAATGGTCGTGTGGTAGAAGATTCATACAGAATTAATGCCAATCTCTCCCATTTAATCCACAGCTTGACCATATCACAGGCAGAGTCCCAGGAGGGCTATTTTGGGTGCTGGGGGTTGAAGCAGGTCGGTGCTCATTCTAAGTGCGTGCCTCTGCTGCGGAGCTCTCTTCCGCCACTAAAGGAAGTCTGATTGGAACAACCCCAACAGTTCAATAGTATCTACAGAAGCTGAACATCTACATATTTAGGATTCAGCAATTCCTCTCCAAGGAATATATGCAGTAGCATACACATATATGTTCACCAAGAGACTTATAGGACCTGTCATTAAGAATAAATATTTTTGGGGGCTGAGGATTTAGCTTAGTGGTTCTGCCGCCTGCCTCGCAAGTGCAAGGTCCAAGGTCCTAAATTCTATCTCCAGTACTGAAAAAGAAATAAATAGATTTTTTAAATAAAGACTACTGGGCTGGGGATTTAGCTCAGTGGTTTTGCCGCCTGCCTCACCAGTGCAAGGACCCGAGTTCGATCCCCAGTACAAAAAAAAAAAGGAAGAATAGCTATATATACACAGTGGAATATTATACTGCAATGACGATGGATAACTATAAACACTACTGATGATTCTCATAAGCCCAAACTACAACAACAAAGCACAGGAACAAGGGACTATAGAGTTGATCCTTGCTTTCCCAGAATGCACTTCCCTCAGAGACCACGCCCCCAGCCTGTCCAGGCCCTGCCAGGAGGGCAGTCAGTCCACCTCCTGAGTCCAGGACAGCGACAGCTAAATACATGTTTTAGGATCTTTTGAGGGATGAGGTGGCAGGGATAAGAAGAAGCGAGAGAAGAAATGAAGAGAGAGAGAGAGAACAAGTAACTCTGAACACAAGTTAACTTTGAACACAAGGACATGGCAGTGTCGATCATCATGCCTATCACCATTGTTCTCCACTTTAAAAAAAAGCAACTTTCCCCGGACAGACGGCAGACTCAGGTCTGGGGCGGTACAGGAAGGACACAAACATTTTCAACAGAAAGAACACTTGCGCCAGAAGATTACTCAGGGAATGGTTGAAGCCAGATGTGGCGGCTTAGGGAGGGAGTGGTTGGGATGTAGCTCGGTGCTCCTGGAGCTCAATCCCCATTCCAGAAAGGAAAAAAACAAAAAGTTGAAGTTCCTTCCTGGCCAAATTTGAGATAATTAGAGCATTAAACTAAATAACAAGAGGGCTGGTATAGAGCATGCTTAGCATTTGAAAGGCCTTGGGTTCTAACCCTACCACCTTCCCCTCCAAACAAAATCAAGTGAATATAGGATTATAATCCATTGAGTATAATAAAAATTCATGAGCTCATACTGAAAGATAAATGAGAAAATAAATAAGAAAAGCTTTTCCTTAGCATTTAAAGCTAATTAATAATCAGAAGAGGGGCTGAGGATGTAGCTCAGTGGCACACTGCCAAACTGGCAAGCACAAGGTCCTGACTTTGATCCCAGTACCAAAAAAGGAGGAGGAGAAGGAAAAGGAAAGGGGGGGGAGGGGGAGGAGGAGGAGGAAGAGGAGGAGGAGGAGAAATGATGAAAGCTGGGCACAGTGGCACCCGGCAAGCTGATGCAGGAGGGTTGCAAGATCAAGTCTATCCTGGGCAAACTAGTGAGACCCTCTCTCAAAAGAAACAAACAAACAAATTTGGCAAGCATGATGCCATACATATATGCCTATAATCCCAATACTCAGGAAGCTGAGGCAGGAGGATCACTATGTGTTTGAGGCCAGCCTGGGCCACACAGTGAACATAGTGATACCCTGTCTCAAAAAACCTGTTGGTAATAAATTGAACACTGAAATTGTACCAACAATTGATAAAGGTCTCAACCAGAGCACTGGTCAAAGGGATGGAGATGTGAGCATGCTCAAATCTTGTAGCCATGGGAATCTGGCTGGCTGAGAGAAGGACTGACTGACTTTACTATCTGGGGTGACCACATATATGCGAAGTCCTTGACCCTAACAGGCAATGCAAGAGGGGAAGCAGGTTTGAGAAAGAAGAGAACAAGAGTGTTTGCATCCCATTGGAGTCAGAGTTTTGGTAATGATGTCAGCTAGCAAGGGTACAAGTCAGTAGCTTATAAGGGAGGCCTCTCTCTACAGTTACTGCTACCAAGTGTCCCACATATTCGTAATGGTTCAGTAATGGGCCACATCTGTTCTACTCCCCCGAGAGGGAAGGGACGCGGGTAAAGGAAGATTATTCCTTGCAGCAAAGCTTGTAATCACGTATTTTTAGAAACCCTTTAAATGCCCATAAGTACAGGATTGGTTAACATCTGATGGTTTGTTTGCAGAGGCCTAATCAAACAGGAAATTGGCATATTTGGGGGGGGACCAATAGTTTAAGTCGAGTGAGAAATGGAAAAGGTTGATTGAATTAAAGTTGACAATAGCCCCCCCGCAGTCCCCAGGGACAATCACACTGAGGCATACCCTCAACCTTTTTTATTTGGAGTTAGAGTCTCACTAAATTGCCCAAACTTGTAATCCTCCTGCCTTGGCTTCCGAATATTGATGATTATAGGCAAATGCCACCACAAGAGCTGTCATACTTTCTAGTCAACCCATTCTACAGTACCTGTATTCACAGTATGTGAGCTAAACACAATTTCATCTATTCTAAAAATCATAAAACACTAGCAGGGTGTGGCAGTGCATGCCTAGAATCCCAGAATGAGGGACGCTGAGGCAGGAAGGATCACCAGGAGTTCAAGGACAGCCTGAACTACAGATTGAGACCCTATTGCAAAAACAGTAAAAATCATAAAACGTTGCACTCTACAATTGACAAACATTTGAAGTCTGATATGCAGCAGTTTGAGTTTTAACCAAGTTCCATAAAATCTTTCTAAATCAACTGATACCTTTACTATCTTAGGTTCATAAATAATATAAGAACTGATGTTTACAGCCCACTGGAGTTTACGAGCCATTTTCATTTAGCCCACAGAGGCCCCATGAAACATGCACAACAGGTACAAACACCTTCGGAAAGCTGAGATGAAATCTGTATCTCAGGCACGAGTCCAGGCAAAGTCTCAAGACTAAGGGTGCAGACAATTTTACCCTTTCAAAAGTAAGGAGTTAGGCCGGGGATTTAGCTCAGTGGTTCCGCCTCCTGCCTTGCAAGCACAAGGACCCAAGTACAATCCCAGGTACCAAAAAAAAAAAAAAAAAAAAAAGTAAGGAGTTTGAGGTTGGGTTTTTTTCCAGGTCCCTGGCCAGGCTTTAAAAGAGTTAAGTGATATGCTCAACCCTTAAATTTTAAATCCATATCCCCCAGCTTCTTTTCTGAGTTACCATCTTTGCTGATAGCTCCTGCAACACACTGGGGAGTGTACCGAGAAACGGGTGATGGAAAACAGGAAGGAAAAAGATAAAGCCCCTGGAAGGAAAGCTGGAAGGCTTGGGTTCTCTTTGGCCCATATCCCGAGGGAGCAGGAGAGATGGCTGTCTATTGTGGAACCAGGGATTGAACACAGGTCCTTCAAACTGAGTTCTACTCCTAGCCATCACGCCTGCTTCTCCAGGCTTGCCTCCAACTCGCGATCTTCTTGTCTTAGCCTTCCAGGGAGCTGGACTATATAGTCGTGCATCATCCTACCTGGTTTACTTTGGTTTTTCTTGTTGGATTGAGATTCACACACTTCATACAGAAATTAAATGGGTCCAGAATCTAAATGTTAGAGCTAAAGCTATAAAACTCTTGAAAAGAAAAAAATAAATCCATATCCCCCCACATACACACAAAAGACAAGCAACTAGCCAAAAGGAGGCAGTGGAAATACAATTTTCCTGTGTCTCTATTGAATCCTAGAATGGAAAAATTGTATGTTCTCATTTTCTGGGACCAATTCTAAAAGACAGCCAAGTCATCACTGCACAAGTCCTTCAGGCAGCCCCGGATTCCTACGGCTAAGGCAACAGCATGTTGCCACCATAGAGCACGAGCACGGCCTCCGCACACGCCCCCTTCCAAGCTCTGAGGGACTCCCTGGCCCTTGGGACTCACCTCCAAAGGCACCAGGACTGACGGCTTCTTCTTCAGCTCCTCGCACTTCCTCTTCTTGCAGATCTGATGGCTGTTCTTTCTGTTCTTGCAGTAAGTGCATTCGCCACAGTTGGTCTTCTGCTGGCAAGGGCCACAGACCCCACAGCGCTTCCTTTTCTTCTTCTCCAAAGTGGGCAGGAGGGTGGTATAGGAAGAGGCGGCAGCAGCACCGGTGAGGGACCCTGTCGTGGATGCCGCTGTGGGGTCGACATCAGCAGAGCTTCTCACGCTGACGTGGGGACTCTGACTTCCCATGGTGCCAGGACCGGCCTGGGAGAGCTGGACAGTGCCCGGCGGAGCCTGGGGAAGTCCTCTCCCCAGGGCCACAGGGACACTCCGAGTGGCAGCTGCCTGAAGGCCCAGGTGAACTTGCTCCTCTGTCTCAACATTGCTTGCAGCTATTACCGGAGGTGCTGAGCTCAACTCTGAGCCTGATGAGGGCTCAGGAGCTTGTTGTGGGCCCAAGGGCAAGATCGGCACAGCACCCTGCACCTCATGGCCATAGGTGACAGCACTCAGGGGCTCAGGCCACTGCAGGAGAGCATTATTCGGAGCGATTGTATTCGGGACCGGGGGAAGGAAGGCAACCAGGTCTGGGCCAGCGGCAGCACCAGAACCAGCACCAGCACCTGCACCAAGGGCTTCTTGTTGGTTGAGGATAGCACCAAAGACCTCTCTTTGGACTGAAGTAGCACCAGGAATCTGTGGGGGGCCTGGGGCCACCCCAGGAAGTGGGTTAGCACCAGGAAATTCCCACTGATGTGGGATAGCCCTGAAGGGGGGTCCCAGGACAGAGGTGGGGTCAGGAGCTCCCTCTTGAACCGGAGTGGCTTTGAGGGCCTCTTGGGGATGGGGTTGAGCACCAAAGGTTTGTGGCTCTGAGCCTGCCAGGAGGAACTTTATTAGGGCCGAGGGGTAGATAGACAAGCAGCTTCTGAGGTCCTGTTCAAGCACACCTTGATTAAAAGCAGAGGACGGGCAGCTATTCTGCTCACTTCGGACAGGATCGGGGCTAGAATCGATCAGCTTTAGAGATTGTACTCGTGACCCCAAGTCTTCTAACTGAATGTTAGGGTTTCTGGGAGAGGTAACTTCGGTGGCTGCTCTTTGGGAGAAAGGAGCACACAGGGTGTCCTGAGGAAACGTGCATGAGGACTGGCGGGTATCATTTGGTATCCGTTCAGAGAGGAGCCCTTCACCACAATGTGACCTTTCCAGCAAGCCAGACAGGATTTCACCTGCTGGGGACGTGGGTGTGGGGACACTGATTTTGGACTCCTCTGTGGTTTGAGACCAAGGCTGGGTTGTCTCTGGACTCTCACCATTACCTAAAGACACATTTTGTACACCAATTACATTCTCTGTATCAAGGGGGACTGGCGGGTCTGGGTTTGGGACTCGGTCATTTTCTGAATGCTTGACTCCTATGCCCGGAAGTACCTTATATGCACACTCACGTTGCTTTTCTGAACTCTTGGAAGGTGGGACTTTCTTGGGTTTGGCTGTGACCACTGGGGGCTGGGAGAGCCGCCTGCTAAGAGAGGTACTGCGGAGAGCCATCGTAAAGCCATTGCAAGTTAGGGACTCTGGGTTCTGGAACAGAACCTCGGTCCGATCCAAATTCATGCGGGCTGCGCCAGCTCGGGTCAGAAGGCTTCTGGTTGGCATTGGAGGTTTGGCTTCCGTTTTCTTCTTACCATCTCTTTCTTGAATTAATTGCTTTAGCTTCCCAGGGTTCGCGGGCTTGACCAATATCACATCTTTGTTGGCTGGCTTGGCTGGCTTCTTCACTTGGCTGTTTTTCTTTTTGTTTATGTCTTCCTTCCTGACTAACCTGGAAGGCCTTGCATGGCGAGATCGCGACATAGCTACACAGTAGGAAGAACTGCAAGGGCGCAGGAAACAGAGTCATTGGTCCTTTGGAAAGTCTCGCTTCAGAGGAGAATCTGGATAGATTGCCAATCTCGGTCACACAAGGTCTCGGTCTGAAATGACAGCAACAAAAAACATTGGAAGTTAAGTCTCATGCATATTCCACTTGAAATAAAGTATTTACTACTGATTAAAATGAAGAAACTCAGAAATGTGCTGCAAAAGAAAAATATGATAAACATAAAAATAAGTAGGATTTCTTTTTTTCCCCCTGGGTACAGGGGATAGAACTCAGGACCTCACACTAAGGACGACTTTGCAAAGCAAGCGCAGTGCCACTGAGCTAAATCCACGGCCCTCTTCCTTTCTTTTTTGAGACAGGTTCTCCTAGAGTATTGGAATGACAGGTCTGTAATACCATGCCGAGCTGAAGAATTTTTAAAACTTGGATTCACTATCACATTCCTTTAATTACTACACCAACCAACTCAGATGATAAAGTTCTAAGAATAAGGTAAGCATGATAGTGTCTCTATATTAAATACAGCATCTGTAGATATATGTGCTTCAAAACTTGAATCTTCAGATACTGTTGATCATTGATCCTGATGTCAGCCTTACTGGATGAAGAAATACCTAGCAAATTAAAGAGCATGTTCCTGCGTGTGTCTGGCTGGGTCACAGAGGCACAGCCCTGGGTACTGTATGTGGTGCTGTTCCCCTGCTCTACTTCCTGGCCGCCATGAAGTTCCTGCCTGGAAGCCACCATGGACCGAATCCCCTGAAACCATGTACAAAGTAAACCTCTCCTCTTTGAAATTGTGGATGTAGGTATTGTGTGTTAGTGACAAAAAGAAAAAATGATAAAAGACACTTTAAAAAGTATCTCTTACTCTTTTTCCTAAATACCTCCTGGCACAGCCTAAGCAGGATGTGCTTAACAACAAAGCTGGTAAAGCCAGAGGAGAGGACTTAAGTAGTCCAAGAAACTGGATTCCCTAGATAGTTTCCTTCTGTCTGTCTGTCTCTGTCTGTCTCTCTTTCTGTCTGTCTCTCACCAGTACTGAGGATTTAACCCAGGGCCACGCATTACTCTGGCTGCATACCCTAGTCTTAGAGATAAGACCTCACTATATTGCTCAGGCTGGGCTCAAACTTGCAATCCTCCTCCTTCAGCCTCCCAAGTGCCAAGATTATGGAATTTGCAACACCATGCCCCACTTGGAGATCCACTATTAAAGCTAGATTCCAATTAATAGCCCACAAGCTTTGACCTTTTCACACATCCACAGGTGGCAAAAATCTCCAGGGTTGGGCCACGGACTTAGCTCAGTGGTTCTGCCACCTGCCTCACAAGCACAAGGACCCAAGTTCAATCCCAGTTACCAAAAGAAAACAAAAACAAAAACAAAAATTCCAGGGTCACTATTAGGAAATCATATTACAAATGAAACTCACAGGCCCAACAAGCACCTCTACATGTAGTCTATTACATATAAGGAAGGGATGGTGGTAGAAACTGCCCACACTCGGAATTGATGTCCTCTTTGACCCAAGAAGCTAAAGCCTAATGGTTTTATGGTAAAATGCCAGATCTACCAAAGGCCTCAGCAGTCTCATGATGAATATCTATGCAAGGAAATTGAATTAAAGAGAAAACAAGATTAGAATGGTGAAGCACATATTCAAAGAAAAGCAAGTAAAAAGAGAAATGAAAGAAGGTTGAACAGAAGCGAGAGCCATCACCAGGAAGGGCATGGTAATCCCAGCACTTCAAAGGCCAAGGGGAGAAGGAAAACCGTGAGTTCAAGGCCAGCCTGGACTACCTAGCAAGACCCTGTCTCAAACAAAACAAAACAAAAAGATGAGGCTGCAAGCAAGAATGGCATGGTGTCACACACCTGGAATCCCAGCACTTGGGAGACTGAGGCAGGAGGATCACAAACTTAAACCCAGCCTGGGCAGCTCAACAACTTAGGGAAACCCTATCAAAAATTTTTTAAAAATGATTTTGAGTATAGCTCAGTGTGAAGGCCTCTGGGTTTGATCCCCAGCACTAGGGCATGGGGGGAGCCCAGTGTAAGAAAATCATGACTCTGGGCCTGGGATTTAGCTCAGTGGTGACACTGCCTGCCTCGAAAGCACAAGGTCCTGAGTTCGACCCCCAGTAGGATGGGGGAGGGGGGATCGGACTCTAAATTGGACTGTGCCCATGTGTAAGGTCATCACAATGAGGAAAAAATTAGATGTAAGGGAGTTTTTGTTTTATAAAGCCAAATTTATTCATTTTAAATAACTCTCCTTTATTCTTTTTTTCCCCCCTTAAGTTTATCGCTAGCGAACAATACAGTTACATTTATCACTGGGATCTTGTACCTTTACATGACATATCCTGGTTCTCATTTTTTCCCCATGCCCCTGCCCTCCACTCACCCCTTTCACTCTTCCCTATTTACAATGACTTTGTTTCCTTTTCCTTTTTTCACACTTTTCCCTTATTTCCTTTCCCCTTTCCTTACCACTTCCCCTTTAGCCATTTTCTTCCTATTTCACACTATCAGTTATACCATGTGGACCTTATTTATGCTTTTAGTTTTTCACAACAGAGAAACTATTCAGTTTTTACTCAAGTGTGTCCTATGTATTTCACTTAGGAGTATAGCCTCAATGTGAATCCATTTAGCTATAAATGTCTCTAGTTTCTCATTCTTTATGCCTGGATAGTACTCCATTTCATAGAAGAACCACATCTTTAACCAGTCTCCAGTTGATAGGCATTTGGCTCGTTTCCGAGTTTTAGCTATTACAAACTGTACAGCTATAAACCTGGGTGAGCATATATCACTGTGGTATGATTCTTTTAATTCTTTTGGGAAGATATGCAGCAGAGGGATGGCTGGGTCAAATGGGATCTCTAATTCTAGTTCTTTGAGGTATCTCCATACTGATTTTCACAGTGATTGCACCAGTCTGCACTCCCACCAACAATGGAGAAGAGTTCCTTTCTTTCCACAGCCCCACCAGCATGTTATTGGTTGATTTCTTGTTTGTTTGTTTGTTTTGTTTTGTTTTTGAGATAGGATCTCACTATGTAGTTGAGACTGACCTGGAACTCACTGTGTAGCCCAGGCTGGTCTCGAACTCACAGTAATCTTCCTGCCTCAGCCTCACGAGTGCTGGGATTACAGGAGTGTGCCACCACACCTGGCTATTGGTTGATTTCTTGATAGCAGCCATTCTTTCTGCAGTGAGGTGGAATCTCTGTTGTTTTCATCCACATCTCTTGAATGACCAGTGATGTTGAACGTTTTTCCATATATTTATGTGCAGCTTTTACTTGGGTTTTTTTGTTTTTGTTTTTTGTTTTGTTTTGTTTTTTGAGACAGGGTCTCACTATATACTTGAGACTGACCTGGAACTCACTATATAGTCCAGGCTGGTCTTGAACTCACAGCAATTCTCCTGCCTCAGCCTCCTGAGTGATGGGATTACAAACATGTGCCACCATGCTCGGCTCAGATGCTCATTTTTTAATTAGGTCTTTGTTTTCTGTGGGTTTGAATTTTTGGAGTTCTTTATATATTCTAGATAGTAATCCTTTGAGGAGCAGCTGGTAAAATTTTTTTTCCCACATTGTAGGTTGCCTCTTAGCTCTGTTGGTGGTTTCTCTTGCACTACAGAAACTTTTTAATATAAGATCCCAGTTATTGATTCTTTGTGCAAGTTCTTGTGCTGCTAAGAATTTGTTCATAAAGTCTTTTCTTATGCCAATGTCTTCGAGAGTTCTGCCTGATTTATTTTCCAGTAACTTTACTGTTTCTGTAAGTAAGAAGTAAGAAAGTAAGAAGTGTTTCTGTTTTGATAGTTAGATCTTTAATCCACTTGGGTTTTAGTTTAGTGTGTGGTGAAAGATAGGGATCTAGTTTTAATCTTTGCCACGTTGAAATCCAGTTTTCCCAACACCATTTATTAAAGAGGCTATCTTTCTTCCAGTGAGGATGGTTGGCTCCTTTGTCAAAGATGTGGTAGTTGAATATGTCTGGTGTTGTTTCTGCAACTATTCCATTGATCCTTGGGTATGTTTCTCCACCCCCCCACCCCGCGCCCCCTTGGTACAGGGGATTGAACTCATTCATGTCCTTGTGCTTGCAAGGCAGGCCACCAAACCGCTGAGCTAAATCCCTGGCCCTCTTTGGGTATGTTTCTTTACCAGTACCTTAATCACAGTGGCATTGTAGTGTAGTATCAAGTTGGGAATTGTGATAACCCCTGTCATGTCTCTGTTGCCTAGAATGGCTTTTTCTATTCTAGGTCTCTTCTGGTTCCAGATGAATTTTTGGATTGTTTTCTTAAGTTCTGTGAAATATACACTTGGGATTTCAATTAGGATTGCATTGAATCTTTATAACACTTTTGGAAGTATGGCCATTTTCACAACTCTCCTTTATTCTGAAATTATACCGCCCTGTTTTTACCCATTAAATATCTTTCTACAAAAATAAAAATTAAAAATTAAAAATTAGCACATCTTTTCTCTTGTGAAAAGATAGGGTAGGTTCATTTTATAATATTCTTATTGGTAGACTTCTGGGAAGACAGTGGACTGGTGAGTAGCAGAGAAAGGGCCTCTCTGGGGTTTAGTGTCCAGACATTAGATAGAATGTAGCAGAGTGAGGAAAAGGAGGGAAGTGGCTCCTCAGGACGCAGGAAGGATCTGGAGAGAACTGAAGTCATGGGGAGAGCCAAGAGAGAGACTTCAACAAACCAGGGAGGTGGTCGGTGGCACTTTGCCTCACCCTGGTCCCACACCACGGGAAGGGTGGGTCAATCACGCAGACCAATGGTGACTACTGGCAAAGCCCAGAGGCCTTCACAGAGAAAGTTACCAGTGGAATGGAGCAGTGGACACAGAGGACTACAGTAAACGGTGAATTTTTTTGGTTCAAATGTTAACCGGGAGAGTGATTGCCCGGTAGCCATCCTGAAGAAGGGCCAACTGAGCTAAGAACCCAGAACAGCTAGAGGTTGAATCCATCTAGTGGCTCCCGGTGTCATGGAGCCGTGAGTTCAAGTCACCCGGAGGCCAGGGAGTGGAGTTCAAGCCG